CTGCGTGAGGGGCTCGGGCCGGGCTCCCCTGCGGCCGTGCCGGGTCTGACCGCCCGGTCCTGGCGGTGCGCTCAGATCGCCCAGCGCGGGCTGGGGGGCGGGAGTTAAGCCGTAGTGCGAGCTTCAAAACAACTGCTAAGTCATGCAGGCCGGCCGGGCTGCCGGCACTAACCGCCTCGACCCGCGAGGCCGGTGACGGCTTTCCTCGGGAGGCGCGGAGCCCGGCTCTTCTCCAAAACCACCTTTATTCCCATTTACAGCTTTACAGTGTAACAGTTGCGTCCACAGACCTGTACAGACCAGGGTTGTCAACAGAGAGGGAGCGACGGTTATTAAATATTACAAAAATAAATCCATTTCACTGCAGCGTCTCTCCTGCAAGCGGGGACAGCGCTGGCGGGGACACAGCCGGGCCTCGCCGGGCGGGATGGAGGAGGCATATGCTGAAACCACCCAGGCTCGCATCAGGCGGATGACCTCAGCAGAATTTTAATATTGCTTTATGGTGCAGATGACCCAAATCTCAGGTGTTTCCAACCAGACGGAGCTGCAGCACAGGCTTATTCCCAACAGGAGGGCACAGAGCAGCTGCCTCCCCACTTCTCTGGGGAAAGAGTCCTGATTTTGCTTTTTAAAAAACATTTTCCAGCAAAAAAACTTATTGATAAATTACTTCCAATTATTAAACAGGAATAAATATGCTAATTAGTTCTGTTTTTTCTGGGTAATTTAGGGTACAGGCTTCCTGTCCTCATTAATGTGGGTACCGATAATTATATAAACGCGGGATGTCTGAACAAGCTTCTCCCAATTAACAATGTGACTTTGCCTCAAAGACACAAAAATGCAGATGTTACACAGCAACTAGGAAGTTATATTTTTCACTTCCACGACATTTTTTAGGGAAAGTCCACTCGCTGGCCTGCTTTAGCTCACACCCGGCCTCTCCGCCATCAGGCTGGCGCTGCCGTCCCTCTCCTGCACCTCGCAGGCTCTAACCCGGCTTCCACACCGCACGTCCCTCGCCATCGCCACTCTCCGCCTACGCCACCATCACCCCACGCTTCTCAGGCCTCGTGCACCACAAGGCAACAGGCTGCTAAGGAACCGCGTCCACCCACGGCTGGAAAAAAGCTTCGATGGAGGGGCGGGAGGTGTTCAAAGCTCCTATTTAAACCATCTTTGTCTAAGAAGCATCACGGGGGAAACAAAGTGCAGACCCAGACCTGGCTGAACAAAGCCAGAGTCATCTCCAGCTCTCCTCGTGCCCTGCCAGACAGCTGCCCTGGTACAAAAGTCTCACAAAAATCTCCGTCACCATCTAGAGGCCCGAAGGGTATTAAGTATTTATTATAATTTCTTTCTAGATGGTTTCTCTACATAGCTGTATTAACATATACTAACACAGTTATCTTATATACAGTGTTTAATCAAGTTATAAAAGTGACATTCTTTCAAAAGGTGCAAAGTTATTAATGTTTTGACACGTAAACTACTAAGGCGAGATCTGCATTGAAAATAAAACTTTTCCACTTTCAGAGCATTAGAGGTTCCATGGCCAGCCAAGCATAGATGTGTCGGCAGTGAGGGGAAAGTATTTTGTAAGTGTTGTCAACGAAGAACAATAAATTAGAAGAATGGATTTGGAACTAATCTGAAATTTTACTAAAAACTTTACACTAAAAGGAAGGGCAGAAGGGGGTGAAGACATAACTAATGAAGTGTTCTTACTTCAGAAATTGTCCCAGTTTCTTTTTAAATCCCATAAAGATTCTATACTGAAGTTTGGATTAAATGCATTGTCACAATTTTTTCATGCTTTCACATAATGACAAGGCTTTAGGTCTTTGAATTTAAATCATAACTTAGATGAGAGGGATGCTAACCTGTACACTTCTTAGAAACAGAATATTTAGCAATTACTCTACTGTTTTTCCATTTAGGCAATTGCTATTTATATGTATTGTTTTAAAAACACTACTCCAGCATTAAACATAGTATTTAGTTTAAGCAAGTTTTAAACTCCCATGAGATATTAAATTGGCATAATACATGAATCCCTTCAATCCTCACCTAACAAAGGGTTCCCTATGCTGCTTGCAGAGAGTCTGGAAAGGGGCTTACAGTGCCTGGCACAGTCATTAAAGTCCAATTTTTTTATAAAAATTATGTTTATGCTGTCCCACATGGATCAGCAATGTCTTTTAAAAGAAGTCAAGTGTCTATGCACTTACTAGGAACAGCTACAACCCTATGTCTGTACCGTGTTGCCAAGTCTAGCTTGTGAGTCCTAAAGGCTGTTGCAGTCAACACAAAGTACAATTTCTGGCAGCAGAATAAAGTTGCCATAAGCACGTTTCAGATTAGGTCCTTACTGCCTTGAAGTTTTACAGCTTCTCTTATTTTTCAACGAAGACAACAACTAAATTTCCCAAGAAAATAAAGTTAATCCAATTGTTAGATGCATGATTTGATATAAAAAAATGTTTCTCCATGAGTATGTTAATTTTCTTTTGCTTTTTAATCCTGTGGCTGGGAGAGAAGCACTTCAAAAATCTACCGTTTGGATGAAACCACAAGTGTGTTCTGACATCAATCAGACCACTTCTTCCACAAATTCCTCAAGTTGCTGGTGCTTAACACCAGCAATTTCTGATTTACTGTAAACTTCACAGCGGTGTAGCCACTCTCCATTTTTGCCTGATTACTTAATTAAAAACTTTCATAAAAGAAGCAGCAACATTAGGATTAGTTTTAATTAACTGGACCTAATTTTTCAAGTCTTTCTCCCTTCTTGTTCCCCAAAGTATACCACTTGAAAGAAAATTAATGCATCGGTTCAGTAATTGATTATTTCCACTATTAGACGGCTTTGATGGTTTGATATGGACAAAAAAAAAAAAAAAATCCCACTTTTTGACATCACGTGCTCACAGAAAACTTGTAATAGGTATAACTCTGCCAAAGCTTTAAATTGGTTCTGCTTTTTTACAACATACAAAACAGACATGACCTAATAATGAAAAACATGCAAACCAAAACTTCCCCAAAATATGAACCTGTGTGGATATACATACCAAAGTGCTTCCAAATAAAGTTTAGTCTAGAAGCATACATAGTGCCAAAGCTGCCAAAGGTAGTGCAGAAAATTTAAGCCTCCAAGTGGTAGCAAGCAATATATTTTACATTGTAACCACTTCTACATTCCTGCAATTGTTTCCGAAGCTTCTCTATGTTAAGAACAGCGTTTGACTTCAGAAAAAGCACAATTTTTAATGCACCCTTCCCTTTGCCTAACGTATGCTTTATGTAATTTTATCACAGGTACACAGTTTAATGCTCACAGTGTCCAAAAGTTGTGAAGACTCTGTAACAGACAACTACAGTTTGAGAAGCTCAGGTAGGTTTTTGTTTCCCCGAGTCTCTGAATTATTGAACTGTACTGAGAGAGAGGGGCCAGGAGCTCCAGTCCCCACGTAGTGCTACATACCGTATGGAAGTTCACATGCATCTCGTCATGGGGAGTATCGACAGCACTAGATTTGATCCCGTTTGTACCATATTAGCTTTTCATCCCTGCTCCGACTTCCAAAAACTTCAGATTCTTCACTACTGTACTAAGTAACAAGGATTATTATCTCTATTTTACTTAAGTTACGTAGTTTAAAAGGATGTTTATTATGTGCTCTACTGGATACAGTGTATCTTCCTGACAAAGAAACTAGGGAAAAAGATGAAGAACCAAAGGTTCCTTTGAAAATTAGTGAAAATATGATGATTTCAGATGCAGCTTTATGGAAAGAATGCAGCAGTATTTAAATATTTGGCAATCCAATGTTAGTGATCATTAAATCCTTGATTGTTGACCGATAGAATTTTTGATAAAATTTACTTAGAAAAGCTGGTTTTTGCTATCAACAAAACCAGAGTAACTGGCTTGGAATGAAATCTAGTAACTAGATGTCCAGATGAGATGAGCAATTGGTTCCATAATTTCAGTATATGTCTGGACAGTCTGAGAAATTTCTATCAAAATAGCCACCTGAGTACAGCCAATCTGAAGTCCCAGTGTATGGGTTAGTGCCTTGATGAAACCATCTGTAAAAGAAAAAAAAAAAAGAAAAAGAAACAATAAAAGAAAAAGGCAGGCAGAGTGAACAGTTATTAATAGGGGAAAAAAAACAGGTTTGCTTCTTTCACAGAACATTGTAAAAACACACTGGTATTTCTTATCAGAAAAAAATTCTCAAGAAATATTCTGAACATGAAAAATAAGGCATTAAACTTCCTCCAAAATTATCACCACCTTGTAATGCATATATATGTTTTTTTACATAAAGAAGGAATATGAAGTAAAAATTGTTGTCCTATTCCAAATATAAATAGTATGGATACCCTAGACTATATATTGATTTTATATATATTAATTTTTACTTTAAAAGATTGCCAAATCAGTTACACAATCCCTTTCATAAACCCATCCAAACAGGAAACAGTTTTGTTCTGTGGATCTGTACTTTGCAGAGAACATTAACAGATGCTCACTTTTTAGCCATGCTGACTGAAAACAATTTGACGTTCTCTGGAAGAGATTTTCAAAGGCATTAACTGGAATTAGTCCGTAGCTGATCCTGAAGGCTTTGGGAAGAGAACACTTTCTCTTCTGCCTTTCATGAAATCATGGGAGCATCCCAAAGTTCTTGCCTTTGAAGGAAGCACCTGCAGCAACTGGTCCTGAGCACACACTTGACTGCACAGCATTGGCATCTGTGAAATGCAACCAGCAGGAGCCGGAGCCAAATCACACATGTACTCCATGATGCATTCTGTGACTTAGAAGTCACTTGAATATGCAATCAGAAAAGCAATTTCTGAAGTATCCAGGCCAGGAAGACCTAAGAGTGTGAAAATAAAAGGCCCTAGAGGGCCACAACGTTGTACTCAACTGCCAAATGCTGGACAGGAATTGGTTAAAGGAGAGATGAGATTTCACGTTTTATTCATTCTAACAAAAATATGACCTCTGTAGGTTTTAAAAAACAAAACAAAAACCATCCAGCATTACCACAGTAGTTAATTATGACAGATTTCAGCATTTATTATTAGATAATTTCTCCAGGACAAAGTTACCAGCAATTTTGGCTTCCAGCTACACTGTTTGATTGTTGACCCAGCAAATCCTTTAAGTGACACTACAAATTGTGCTATCATGCAGGAAATCAAACACACGCTGTCTTGAATAAAAACATTTCAAGCAGTACACCAAACCATTCCAAGCATTAAACAAATGCTTCCTTCCCCCTTACCGTGTGTGCCACTCCACTTCATCTTTTGCACGCTCCTTGCGAGCAGCTCTTTGTTTCTCTTCTAGTCTCTCTTTTTCTTTGCTAGCCACATCTAACAAACAGTCCGAGAGAAATTGGTTACTTACAAAAATAAAAACACAGAAAAGACTACAGAGACATTAAATACAGTTCATTTAGGACAGGAAAGCATTTGCTGTACACAGTCTGAACAATGAACAATGGCAACAAAAAACTACAACTGTCATTTCAGAAAACTTGCTACCACAGACTCCAAAATGAAATTTTGGTGTTTTATCTATCAGAAACACTGCACTGAGACAGCAGGAAAGAACTTAGATTAGGCATAATAGAGTGAGTGATTTTTTCACTATTTGGCCATGTGTTTTTCTGACAAACACCAGAGCAACAGAGCATGTCTGTTCACCACATGTCTTTCCAGACAAACTCCACAGCAAGAGAGTGTGTCTGCCAGTTCCCCCCAAGTTAACAAACATGCAAATACACCATCACATAGGATAGCAGTCTTGGGAACCACCTTGGACACATTTCCTCTCCCAGACTTCTCTGGGAAGAAAACAGACATCATAAGCTGTTCAAAAGCATGTTCATTAACACAGGATGAAAAAGAGTTAAGGCTGCTCTGGGAATGGGAAGCTGAAGACAGTCTTCCTGTATCAACAAATCTCCCTTCAGTCATCCCTCTCAAAACTTACTAACGTGAAAATATTTCCTCCAGCAAACACATACCCATGTTTCCGTTTTCCATATTTCTGATATCTGGACGTAGCCGGCAGTCAGTGGGAGCTAATATTGCTTCCATTCCCTTTTCTAGCTCGTTGAGACTCACAGCAAAACTGGTGAAATTGTACATCTTAAAAGCAAATTAAAGATAACATACAAGTTATTTTGGAAAAGAGGCACTGGATTCCCTATACCAACAGATACAACAGAATTTCCAGGAGAAGTTACTGAGTCAAACCTTCTCCCACTATCTAACATCATGATTTTTAAGAAGAAAACAACCACATCTAAAAGACCAAAAACTCTTGTTGAAGCTACTGAAGTTAGTATCCAGCTGTCCAGTTACTGCACTCTTTGGAGGGCTGATCTCTAAGAGCAGGGTCAGCAGAAGGGAACATGTATCCATATTTTAGCCTCTCTAAGTGCAAAGATCTCAGAGACAGGTTAACCTAAGACATCAGACTTACACAGAAGCAGCTGCAGAGCACACATTCTTTCTACCAACTTTGACACAGCAATGATGCTCTCAGCACAGGAACGAAGCAGAGAGCTTGTAGTATAATTTTCCTGCTGCGGCAAGAACTGCCAGACATGCTAAGAACACACTCTTCAACAAGGTTTCCCTTGAACTCCTGTTCCCTTGGGTAAGTCACTAGCGATAGCAATACAGAGACTGACTGAAACAGTTTACCTGTGATGAGTTTGGTGGCCTACAATTTATTCTCCAAAGCAATTTACTGCCTGGTATGAACTGCACTGTGTCCTGAACGTCTGGCATATCATCAGCCTCATCATTTTCAGATTTAATAACATCTTCACTCTGAAACAGAGATAACATTTGGCAGGGGAACAAAGGGAAATTGGACAGTTTCATCTAGAGTTCTACAGTGACTGTTGAAGAATCTGGTCAAATTTGAGATATTAAACACTCTCCTGTACTTCTGCCTCACCCCTCATGTTTGATTTTCCTCACTCTCTATATTGTTCCTCTCATTTTTATCTTAATGTCTTGCTCCTGATATCTCTGAATAGTCTTCCATCACTTATGTACAACTTGAATGTCTGTTTAAAAAAAAATTAATGTCTTTCAGAAATCTTTTCTCTAGCTTCCCTTCTATCCCACGTCACAGCTTAATTTCACTTAACGTGACTATTACTTCTTCAGGTTGAAATGAACCAAGACTGCTATTTAAACCAGTTCCCAAAATGGGTTAAGAAAGATAAATAGGACATGCCTGCTTTTGGATATTGCTTCAGAATTTGCAAAAGATTTAGATGTGTGATTAAAAAAAACAGATATGCACTTGTTTCAGTCTGATTTCCTATTATCTAGATTCTAATAACTATTATCACTGCAAATTTTCTCACTACACAGACTCTGTACTCAAATGTATAAATAGAGTGTCTTTCCTTCCAGGCTCCTTTATTACGGGATGCACTGCTTTAATGCATATGTAAAATCAAATGCAGTATTCTTCAAGAGTCTGCTATAAGAATCTGAGAGAATCTGACTGTCATAGGACACAGACAGCTACACAGTCGAATTTCAGAGGATTTTACAATAAGAAATCATTTAAAATCACAGTCACTAGAATGGAAGTTTGAAGCAATAACATCCTAGAGCGATAGTAACACCGTTTTCATCCCTCCCCTTACTCCCATCGCCTTTTCTTTCTGCCCCCTCTGACATGGCGATTTATTTTACTCAGAAATACCCTATTAAGTTAAACAGGGCCTGTTTTATACACTAGAAAACAGCTCCATATGGTTAAGAGTCTAATTTCAATCATTTAGTTTGAGTATTCATTATTTAAAAAGACTCTTTTAGACTGCTTTCCATGTCAACATCTGGTTTACTGTTAGACAGTTCCCCATCTAAATATAGATTTAACAGGAAGGAAGGAAAGAAAGAGTTGATTTTCGTAAGATGAACAGAGTCTTATTATTAAAAAAAAAAAAAAGTCAAAATATAAGCCTGTACCCTGACAGAATCCAGAGCCAAAAGCGAGGCCTGTTGTTGCTCTAGATTCTTCTGATGTGAATACTCTTTAAAAAAAATTTGAGCCTCTTTAACTTTACGACTGATTAGTTTCTGTTTCACTTCTCCTTTTCAATGAGCAACCAGGGTCTGCAAGACCCTGTTGGTATCAGGAAACCCAACAGTTCTCTGCTGCACCATATATTTTGCATTTCCCATATAACCCTGAGGCTTTGGCAGTAACTTACCTGACACTGCTTACACATGATGAAAAAACCCTGCATCTTTCCAGACCCCTTTGTTCTCAAGGCTATCTACATCATAAATTCTGAAAGGCTTGCATCACCATAAGGCATGACCAACTTAAAAAACATGTAATTACTTTTTTTTTTTAAAGCCCAAATCCTAATATTTTTACATCTGAAGTTGACAGTAGAGCCACTTTTCTCATTCAAGGACTGGATGACAGCAGCTTGGGGGTTGATATTTGATGACTTCTCTTTGACAAATCCCTAGAACACCATTTCTGTGAGTTCTCTTCAATACCAGCAGCTCACATGAAAATCTACAAGCTAAAATTGCAATGCCTTCTCCTGGGGCTAACACTGCCCAACTCTGTTGACCCTTCCATTCACCACCATCTGATCATTTCTGTGAAGATGATGTTTTCCTTTCGTTTCTCATATTTCAGTATCTTTTCTCTCTAAAGAATCCTTAACCTTACCGGCTTCAATTTCTTCTGCTCACCACCTCTCTTCTCATTCTTTTTGTAAGTCTCATACGTAGTGGGATCAGTGCACCATAAACATTCTGTCCACTTGCCATAGATCACGCACAGCTTCTTTCTGCTGCAGAGAAAGCAAAAGAGACTTAGCTTTTGCTTCCTATAAAGCCTTCTAAGCCAAGTCATGAGGATTCTGATCTATAATATATTAAATATCCAGCTTACAACTTTGTTGTATTTTATGTTTCTTTGTAGATTTCTTGGGAGTCAGATATTTGATAATGCAAAGAAAAGGTTTCAGCTTATTCCGGCCTTTCTGGCATTCAGTCCTGCAGAACACAGCCTCATGACTTAGTCACAGGCTTTTGCACTGTTAAAATGAGTGTGGGTGCAATAAAGGCAACAGTTTACAATACAGAGACTCATGAAACAGGCTTGGGTTTGATTAAACATTTCTAATAACCATATTCTCATTGTTTTAAACTGGAGGCTGAAATTTTGTCTGTACAACAGTAAAATCAGTTGCATTTCCCCTGGCTACCTTTATTTCCAAAGACTGAAGAGTTTTTCTAATAATGCTTTAAATTATCATCCTAGAATCAAGAGGTTTAATACTGACAAAGAGAACAGAAATGGGTTACAATCTGCATTGGTAGTGACTCTGGAGCCGCATCACTTGTGGTCACTATCCCAGCACTAACAAAATGCCACAGGGCTCAGAAATAGAGAGGCCAAGAGGCTTTTATCACTTACTTTTTGTCCTGAATGTATCCCTCTACTCTGTGAAGCTCTTTCCCAAACAGTCCACATGGTTTAAAATTAAGGACACATTTATCTCCAGTACTGTAGAGGAAATAAGTACATGTGTAAAGAAGCAACCCCCTAAATGGATTAATTAGTAAGTTTACTTTTCTATCTTATTTAGCTTTCTTTTGTATAGTATCAGTTAGCTGGGGGGGTAGACATTTATATAATTATTTTTCTTTAACTATGGTTTATTATCTGACCAGGGCATTAGAGAAAAGGCACACAAATTTCAGAATTCCACAGAAAGGACAAAAAAGAAATCAAAGTGCACATAAAGACATCAGCCTGTGGAAGCCAAGTGAAAACATGACCATGCTTCTGAGTTTCATGTTTATCTAAAATTTATCAAAAGTACTGGGAATAAAACAGAACTCAGTCTTGCATACTAAACCCACGCTATTAACACACTGCATTTCAGAATAACATCTATTTACAGCTAATTGTAATGAGAAATAACTTTTACAAATGACCTATGCAGGAAAGTCTAATTAAAAGCATTCAAAAGAACCTCTAAATTGCATGTCAAAAACTCCGAACTAAACATTTTACAAACAAAAAACAGAATTATACTTCCACATCTTTGCATTGAGATGTATATACATGTAACTAATCTCCTGCAGTGAAGTATCAGGACAAGTTTCTATGTCAAGCACAAAGTATACAGAGATCATCCTGGGTCCTGTGTGCCAATATAGGAGACAGAATTGTAAATTTGATGCGATGAGAAGTATGAAGACAGCAGCCCTCCTTCATTAAAGCTCCGATTTATTGTCAGAAAAATATGTGCAGAAGTAATACAGTTTTTACAAAATTATCTCCCTAATCATTACAGGAGGTAATTTATTTTAGGTAATGTAAAAAGCTTTTGTACAGGCGGTTGGCAGAGCAGTTGACATGCTCTGAGTTCACATTATCCTACTCTGCAGTCATTTTTCTGTGCTGTACCCTTAATTTACGACATTCTCTATTTTCAAAAATAAAAAGAAAGCCAAAAATCACAATCAACATGGAGGTCCACTGCAAGTCTCTGACAATTACTCCATTTAATGGTTCTGGAGTTAAATTTAATTTCTGTTCTCTGTCAACAGGCCTGAAATTGAATAACTCACAAACATAAAATCTTTGTATCCTATAAGCAATCTAGCCCTGTGCCTTTTCATTAATATTATGATGATACTAAGCCCAGTCCAATGCCTAGTTTGCATTTGTCAGAAGGGGGGAAAAAAAAAAAAGAAAGAAAAAATAGACTAAACAGAGCTTCCTATGTATTCTGACAAAAATCAAAACTCTGCTTTGCAATAAAAGTGACCACGTACCAGTCCCTATAAGCCAACCCTCAGTTTCATGATTACCATTACCTGTGATTTACAATTTCTACTGTTCCATATTGTTCTAACCACAGTTTACCAATAATTACATTATGTACACAACAGGTTGGATTTGTCCATGTGTAAGCTTCATTATGTCTGTAAAGAAAATAACAAAAATAGATCATTTTCTTGAGTTTGAGATGGAATGTAAGCCTGGTTTTAATTCTGTTTACGGCAGGGCAAAATATTTAGCACTCCTATGAACAGCCAGCAGTTAGCCTCATGCAGAAAAGAAACAGACTTTTCTTTATAAGTCAAAAATCTGTTGTATCTAAACATTAGTGTAAGTTAATAAAGTGATATCCCCTTTATTTTTCTTCCTTCTTACAGAGTTGAAATAGTAAGTTTTAGAGTTGCTGTGCTTTTGATAACATATTCCAGACTAAAATAAACAGCCATCCAGGAATTTATCTTTTTCATTTGCACTTTTAAAGTTGTATGTGATAAAACATAAATACTCACAGGAGAACTGGACTGACAAACTAAGGCTCACAGCATCTTCTATTCAACTACTGCAGCGGCACTGCAGACTTCTTCCTAAAGCTCTTTCTTGTAAACCTCTATTATCATCTAGAGAGCACCTTTTAGCAATAAAGAAAGCACTGAACAGAAATATTTGAGTCTTCTACCAGAGAACTACCTGTTCTGACCGAGGTTTGATATGAAGATACTCCTCTAGGGTTGGTCAGACTAACTAACAATTTTTCATTTTACAAACACTGAGCCACAAAGGCTTCTGAACCTGAAGAAAGTGACACAAGTCAGCAAACTGCGTAAGTGGTTTTCCCAAATATGTCACAAGTTTCCACATCAGTATATAAGGCCTGCTCCAGTGTCACTTTGGGCAATTTTGGGGTGGGTGGTTTTGGGGTTTTTTGGGGGTTGGTTGGTTAACACCAGTGGGACATGATCGCACTATATTCAAGCTTCATAAACATGAGATTTCAAAATCCAATTTATTACTCAATTCCATCCTTTTCCAAAGATTTACTGAGGAGAAAGTCCTACAATTGAAAGATTTTCCACTTAGTTTTATTTTGGTTTTAATGTTTTGTGAAAAGCTTTACAAAGATGAGTTAACAGATTCTAAATCCTTAGAAGACATTATTCTAAAAGCGGTCCAAATGTTAAACAACAGGATTCCTCTTATCACTAGCTCAGCAGAGTCAAAGACATCTATTCTCACTCATCTTTCCATGCTGGTAAAAGAAATGCTGAAGTTACCTGGTTGGTAATTAATCCATCTTAGCAAAGCCTGCAAACTCTATTTTAATTTAAAAAAAAAAAATACAGAAACACAGAGCATCCTCTTTTAACAAATGCCTTGTACTTCTACTGCCAGTAAGTATGGAGAGAACACTCCTACTTAGTATTTCCAATGAGTCTGTCCATTTTCCAGTACAAAGAAAAAGCAGATCATTAAAGTCTGACTATTTTCCACAGCAAATTGTGTTCAAGCATGCTTTAGAACAATGACTACTCTTCAAGTGGGGAAAAAAAATACCAGAACCCCCCAATTTCATCCTACCAGCCTTAGCACATTTTGATTCATGAACTACTTGACACTGAAAGCTGTATAGAATAAAACAAAACACAATACACTCATGGCCAGCGCTGATAAATTGAAACACTTATTTGTGCTGCAGAAGTGAGGAAGAAGGGTGTTTTCTAATGCATGTTTTGAAAACATAGTCATGACTATCGTAAATGAAATACTTAACACCGACTTGCAATTTTGCTTCCTGAAGAGTTACTTGTTCACTCCGGCCCTGAGAAGTTCTCAGGGTACTCAAACCAACAGAATGGTATGAATCACAACACTGAGAGGCTCAACATTTGATTTCAACTTCTGCTGCTAACTTGAAGCAATTATTTTAAATAAAATAATTATTTAAAATAAATGCTTTAATTGTCTGTATCCCCATTTAAATTTGTGCAGAGCAAGAATTTTAATAGCCTTCTAAATAAAGGCTCGCTCTCAAGCAACAAACTTTATTTTTGTCACGTCTACATTCTACACTAACATTCATAGTTCCTTCTACATTCAGAAGAAATTTCCGCTATTTCCATCACTATTTATATCTAAGAGCAGTTCATACTTTTATAAGCTTTGGAAGATTAGATGCCAGCAGCTCAACAAATAAACTGTACTTTCAAAAGAAACTACAGGAAAAGTCAGTGTTTGATATGCCAGGCAAGCTGACTCTTTATTGAAACCAAATGTCTAGAAATTTTCTAAGTATTTCAAAACAACCTCAGAGTTAGGCCTGAGAAAAGCTTTTAGGAAAGCACCTTCAACTGCAGAATACTTTTTCTGCAACTATTATCTACTGCATCCTCTCGTCCTACTTGGGAAAGCTCAAGAGTCTTTGTGCCACCAGGGCACAAACCAACCTATGGAAGGTCACATAATTTATGAGACACACACTCAATTAGAGACGAGCCTGGGAGTAACCTGGAGAGGCACTCTTGATTTTAATAGGAAGGTAATCACACAGAGCAAGCGTTAAACAGGTGACAAGGCAATCCTGACAAGTTTCTCAAGTTTTCTTATCACACAGAACAGCTATTCTGAAGATGCAGTTCTTTCCACACAAGCATATACACACCAACTATCAAAACCAACAACAATATTTAAAAGTGAGACAAGTTTGAATAGCCCGGTAATAGAATTTTATCTCTCTATTCAAATTTTACATGCCTTCACAGAACTAGCTTTTGGTAGCACTCAATTTTTAAGAAATGTTAATTTTCATAGCGGAAAGACTGGGTCAAATTGCTTCAGCTATGCAAGCATGGCATAACATAAACAGAGCCCTGAAATTAAGCAGTGAAAATTAACTTGTAAATAAACTCTTACACCTTCTTCAGCAAGAAGTGTTTAGATAATCACCTATGATGAGGCAATAGAATGAGTATGCCTTATCTTTTTATTCAAGCAAATGTTAAGGAGATCAACATAAAAAGAAGTATTTAATTCTCATACTCACTTCAGAAGCTCCAAAGTAATTGTTCCCCGAGGCTCCGCTTCTATACTTTTCCCCCAGAATTTTAGTTTGGGATAGATTGATCCATGAAAAATAAAGTCCTTATTGAGGCCTTCAGAATAAAATGCACTAATAGGTGGGTGGTGGCTGACTTGCTCAGATATAAACCTAAATCCTAAATCCTCCCTAGCAACAACAAAAGAGAGCATTCAACAGTAAATATTTTCTTAAATATTACAAGAGAAAAGAGCTACATCATACTTTAAGAAATTTTGGAGGACTTTTAGATTAAACCGAAAGTGAGATTTTTGCTTTTCTAGCCCTGTGACACATTTACAATTAATGAAAGAATTTGTACTCTGAGCACTCTCTCTTTATACTTAAAACCAACTCACATTCAAACACCTAAATGACTTTCTACCCAGAAAGGCATCTGAAGAAGTTTCACTGAAATAACTCATGAAAATATTGAAACTGTTTGGGGAGCAGGAGAAGGTCTGACTGAAAATTCTCTTCTCTACTGGAGACACACCACCCATTTATTTAAGCAACCTGGAAGTCCTTCAGACTAACTCCTCTACCTGACATGATCAGCAAAACACTATTGAAATTAATTAATAGCGTCTGGTCACAAAATGTCATTGGGGGAAGAACATGTTGCAATTTTTCTCTGAATAATTCAAAGAATACTCTGTCTAAACCTAGAAATAAATTTATTAGCTTTTATAACAGCTTCTCAAAGATTTTGAGATTATTTGGGGAAAAGAATTGTAGCTATACTCAAATATATTTTAGTAGATTTTTATTTATTTTACTGAATAAACAACTAAACTAGTACAAGAGTCTGCTAACTCGGGAACACAAATAGCCCCAGCTCCCAATTTAAAGTAATTATTACCTGGTTAATTCATAAGTTTCTCCTAACAGAGGGTTAAACGGTTTGCCAGTTCTCTCCCACTGAGAAGCTACAGCAGAAACTGCAAAAGCAGCTACAGCCTATAAACAAATTGAGAACACATTGTTATGAGAACAGTACCTTAAAACTCTACATTTAATATATTTGTTGCACGTTAGAGTATTCCGTTATTCTTGCAAAAACAAAGCACTATATATTGCTCAAGGCCAAAACATTTGTAAGCCATAGGATAAGTGATACAGAAGTGGGAAATACATGCAGATCAAATATAATTTCCAAAAGGAATTGTTTTCTGTAGTAAATTGTCAGGTTAGACTCTGCCCCACGCTTCTCCACCTGCCTCTAAGAGGACAGCCTGTTTTTTTAAATCTACTTTTCCCCTATTTTGACTGTCCCCTACACTCAGCTCATTGGGAACAGGCTTGATTTTCCTAGTGTCAGAAAAGCATTATTTTTAACACAGATGAGATTTCTCGAATCATACCAGCAGGTACAAATGACACTTAGAAGCTCCTGCAGGCTGATAAGTAGAGGTATGCATTACACAAGCACAGAATACAAGATACACATTCTAGATTCATTTAAGTAAGAACAGAGCTATGTACAGCCTAACATACATGGGCCTGGTTTCACCACACTCAATCCCTTATTGTGAGACCAGCCAGGTACTATATCCTACTCCCAACAACAACCAGGTCTGGAGAAAAGTGGTAAAGCTTATCTCTGTCACAACAATTTTTCATCCAGTAATATAAAATTCATGGAGCCACCCAACAAATCAATTTGGAGTGACTTAAAGCCAAGAATTCATCTTCACAACACAAAACTACAAAAAGAGTCACAGTTAGAGCAATCATGAAAAGGGTTGAGGCCCTTGGGCATCGTCAGTTGTGGCACTCTGCTGCACTACTTTTGGCTCAAACTCTGTGCACAATCAAGCATGAAAGTGTCACAAATATCCGATACAGCCACTACAAAAGAAGTATGGCTAGACAGACAAATATGGGCATTCTTATGATAACCCAAGAGGAAGAAATACACGCAGGTGAGAAATTGTCTTAAAATTAAAGACTCTGGGAGAGAAAAACTTCCTCTGAATTAACCAGAAGGTGGTGGGCTGTTAGCTACCTGCATTCTTTCCAGGGGGTCTGCATGACTACAAGCCTTATTAATGAGGTATATATGTTCCATATATTCTGTTATCCGTTGAAGGAAACTCAATGGCTCGTTGAAGACAATAGGCATCGTAATCTTAGACAGCTCCTAGGTAGCAAAAGGATAAATTAACTTCTTAGACACAACACTAAGTTAACAACTGACAAGAAGAATTTTGAAAATAGGTTGTGGGTTAGTTTATTTCTAGCATTTTTCAAAAGACATTTGGCAAGCTTATAGTAGGCCTCTAAGTGCTACAGCACAATCTATCAGATTTACAGAATCTTTCAGAATAAGTAACTTCAAAAAATGATCCACCTAACCTAGTAAAGTCAAGAAAAATGTTACCTTCTGTTCTGTGGGCTACATAGAACAAAAGAGCTTAAAATTTCCATAGATAGCAGCAATAATGTGCCAACCAGTTCATTACTGATATTTAAGAACCACGCATTCCTTTGAAATCCTCACATAGGTATTTGCATAAAATCTAACTCTTTTACTAGAGTAACCACAAATTATTTTTTGAAAGGAACAGTTACATAAAGAATAGGGTTTGAATTGCTCTTAACAAATTTTAGTGGCTTTATTTTAGCAACCTGTTATTTGCATCAGAATGTTTCTCATTTCACATGTGGATGCAAGATGGACTTGAAGTTCACACAGAGATTTCCAATTCCCCAGGTCTTTTACTATATCCAAGCAAGTTTGGATGGTTTTAATTAAAAAGTTGCACTCATGACTGAGAACTAAAGCACCGTTTAAGTGCTTAGAACTTAGTGGAAAGGATAATTAAAAAATTAACCAGATGAAATTAATGCAACATTTTCCTCACATTGTCACAGGCAGTAAGGAAAAAAAAAAAATGTTGCCCCTGACTTAAATTGATTTGGTCTAAGCAAAGCATTCTAGTAGATAGGTCACTCATCCTAACAAAAGGAGTTTTGACAGTACAGCTGTATATCCTAGATGACATCAAATAAGCTAGCAGAAGGGTTCACTGACTGGTCTGTTGCATTCACAAAGGACTGTTCCGGCAGACCTAGACTAGATATGAATGTAATGCTTAATGCTTCTAAAAAGCAGCTATGGCAGCAAGGCCCTCCAGTGTAGAACATCATTTTCATTCCTAATAAGAATGAAGTAATCAAAACTGTAACTGAGTTCTTAAAGGATTAAAAGGAAACAGAAGTGGTGACCAATAATGATGCAAGCAGCGGAGTCATTTAACACAGAGAAATGTAAAGGCCTGGGTGTCTGAGTCCAAGAACAAATCTTGTGACCCAATTACATCACATCATCAGTGCCCCAAGCCTACGCTGGGCTTTCTAAGAAACTCTTAACAGATTTGAAACTTTTCTATCACTTCAATCAGACAAAAGCAATTTTTGTTGGCACAAACTGCCTAAATTATGGAGAAGAAAAAAAGAAAAACCCACACCAAAATAAAGCCTTAAATCACCTTTTGCCAAGTAAAGAATAATAAATAATAAAAAAAAAAAGCAGAGAAGAGAGCGTTGTGTTAATCAAACCATATTTGACTATACTTCTAATGGCTTTAGTCCAGTTCTTATAGGACAGCATTAGAAATGCCAATGCACACGCTCCAACAGCTAAAGGAGGTAAGGAAATAGTGCCGTTAGTAAATGAATGCTGCGATTTAGAGATCTGCAGTTTAAGATTATGTTCCCTACAGGAAAAAAAATGCAAAATGCACCAGGCGTTATTCTGTGTCTTAATGCTTAAACAATAAAATTAACCACTTGAAGTTAGGAGACCTAACATCAGCATGTTTCATTCAAGCTAACTTACCAGTCCAATGCATTTTTTTAATATGCTCCACACACTAAAATCACTTCTAGAAAACATTGGGGCAGGTAATGATGTCCTGTAATTGGAAAAAACAACTGTCATTATCAGCCCCTTAAACAACAAGACACTTTCATTTGTAGGTATTGGAGTAATTTTTAAAGCAAGCAAAGCATTAACCTAGAGTCGACATGGGAAGCAAACAATTGAAATGTCTTTTCAGTTCCAGAGAATTAACATCTCCCAATGAGAACAGTAATGCCCCAGATAAAGAGCCAGCACATACTCGCTTCTCATTCTCATAGGTAGTACTATGGTGTTTACCTGTGTCTCTTAATTCCATTTTCTTGAATCTCAGTCTCTCCATTATGCTTTCCAGTCCTATTGCTTTGGTGTGGATCTAGATCAAGCATTTCTGCAACTTTATGATTTGCTTCTGAAAAGTCTCCTGAAGAATTGTCAGAATCAAAGCCTGTATTAAAAAAAAAATCGCAAGGCAACAGTTTTATCAGGAACCTTATTACGCCAGAGTGCCACTCACATGATAACTCTCACAGCATAAATACACTTATACCAGGTTATTTTATTGTAAAAAATATCAGAATGAAAACCCTTTATTAAGTGACCTAATTTCCAAGAGTATTTAGAGCCAAGTATTGCATTAGAATCAAGCATTCTCAACTAATTTTTCACACTGCTGAATACAAAACCAATTTAGAATCTTTCAAGATCTTCAGTAGTTCCTCATCAGATTAGCTGTATTGTCTCCTCTTCAGAGCTGCAGTGTGATTACAATAATTTTGTTGAGGAAAACTATGTAACTGAAAGACCTTAAAAAATTAATACAGTTCCCCTTCACAACTGTCACAGTATCACAACAGAAAGCACTGCTGATCATTCACTGTAGTAGGATCATAGAAGGGTCTGGGTTGGAGGCAACCTTAAAGGTCATCCAGTTCCAACCCCCCTGCCCTGGGCAGAGACATCTTCCACTAGCCCAGGTTGCCCAAATCCCCGTCCAACCTGGCCTTGAACCTTTCCAAGGAGGGGGCAGCCACAGCTTCTCTAGGTTCCAATGTCTCACCACCCTCACCGTGAAGAGTTTCTTCTAATCTACCCTCTTTCAGTTGAAAAGCCATTACCTCTTGTCCTATCACAACATGCTCTTTGTAAAAAGTCCCTTTCCAGCTTTCTTGTAGGGCCCCTTTAAGTACTGGGAGGCCACTCTAAGGTCTCCCCAGAGCCTTCTCTTCTCTAGCTGAACCCCCCCAACTCTCTCAGCCTGTCCTCACAGGGGTGCTCCAGCCCCCTGAGCATCTTCGTGGCCTACTCTGGACCCGCTTGAGCAGGTCCATGTCCTTCTGATGTTGGCGTCCCCAGAGCTGGACACAGCACTGCAGGGGGGTCTCACAGAGCGGAGCAGAGAGGGAGAATACCCCCCCCTCGCCCTGCTGCCCACCCTGCTCTGGGTGCAGCCCAGCACACGGTTGGCTTTCTGGGCTGCAAGCACACATTGCTGGCCCACAGGCAGTTTTCCATCCACTAACACCCCCAAGTCCTTCTCCTCAGGGCTGCTCTCCATCCACTCCTCGCCCAGCCTGGATTTGTGCTGGGGATTGCCCCGACCCATGGGCAGGACCTTGCCCTTGGCCTTGCTGAACTCCATTAAGTTTGCCCGTCCCACCTCTCCAGCCTGTCCAGGTCCCTCTAGATGGCACATCCCTTCCCTCAGCGTGTCACCACCCCACACAGCTCGGTGTTGTCAGTGAACTTGCTGAGGGTGCCTCGATCCCACTGCCCATGTCACCAACAAAGATGTTAACCAGCGCCGGTCCCAACCCCGACCCCTGAGGAACGTCACTCGTCGCTGCTCTCCACTGGGACATCAAGACATTGACTGCAACTCTGAGTGTGACCATCCATAAAGGAACATTTTTGTTGAAAATAATTCAAAAAGCATTGTCCTTTTTGAGTGCCACAAGGGTCAATTCTTCATCAAGAATCACAAGAAGACTTTCAAGTTTCCAGCTTCCAGAAGTTTCCAGCTTCCAATTTAAGAATCAGAATCCAAAAAGCAACATGAAAACATGTGTATTCCCTGGCAAAGGATTCTTGCCACATTTTTGAGGAATACACTAAGATTATTTTTGTATTCCTCTCATTCCAGCTATCACAACCTGGGCAACTGCTTTTCTGTGTGCAGACAGTTACAATCACACTCAGCTACAGTCTATCCGTAACTCCGGCTATGGGTAAAGAAAGATACCAAAATATTACAAAGCATCTAAGCACTCTAACAGAGTAAAGAAATCAGTTTTGACAAAGATTATTTCCATTTCAAATAGAGTAGAATTTTGTGATCCTCTGCCATTAACTTTTTAAAAATAGAGAGTATCTATCATAAGTAGTTCTTTAACTTTTCTTTTTGTTAACATCTCCAGCAGGCTGCTTTTACTTTATTAGAGCAATTCAGGCAAAGCACACATTCAGAAACAAAAAGCTGCATTTTTTTGAGGGATCAAGACCATGACACTAACATTCAAAACTGCACAAGGAACTATTTGAACCGATATGATGTTATTTGGTAAACAGCAAGTGTAATGGATGATGTCATGTATTATATTAAACTGTTTCCTACATTTTGATGTCACAAGCATGTAATTATACAGCAATAGCCACACCTTCGCAGTCTTAGTACTTAATTGAAAAGTATGATAGTCATATATATATTCAGGTCATTAAAATGAAGACTACCCTGAAACACCCGTCTTCAAAAAAAACCACATGCCTATCTTCAGTCAAGCCACAACTAAGTATTTATAATTTTAAAATGGCAATTCTAACCACGTATTAGCTTTTCTTGGAATCTGCTACAGTACAAGGAGACGGAAAAGGCAAGTACTGTAGGGCATAACAAAATAACCTTTACTAGTTTGACTGATGAATTTGGAAAAATCAGATGAACTCTCTGGTACATGTGCCCTCACCCAGAAAGCTGATCAAGTGCACACAACATAAGGAACAGCATCACATTTAACGGGCACTTCAATGAGATAAATGCACCTAAATGTAAAAGTAAATCTTCATGACAGGAATAGTCAACTGGCTTATAAGAGAACAGTTATGAAAACTGTTGCTGGAATTACAGTCTTTACACTGTACCTGAAACCCTGCAAATCCTATCAAATGTTCATCGTTTTTATCCACACTAACCTTTCTGTTTCTCCAGGATTCAGAATTGGTTTGCCCTTTTCCTGTACAGTACAATGGGAATTTAGATTCAGGTATATATATTATTTATGGACAACAGTATGTCATTGGTAAGTAAATAAATGCCAATTCAAACAAGTGCCTTGCATACAAACAACAAAAATTAAATCCCTGCTCCAGAAAAATAAGATATATCAAAAGTATAAAGTCTGCTTTATTAGAGTACACCTCCACCTAATTACTTTAAAAAACAAACCAAACCCACTAGGGTACACAGCTAGATAATCACTAGACTTTCAACTATACTTTTAACCTTAAGTATCAGCTGGTTTGTCTACTACAAACCCATTGAGAAAGTTTTAAAAGCTATTTCTCAATGAAGCTCTAAGTAATACGGTTCTATGAAGAACAGAGAAAGTACTGATCTGGAATAAAAACAGCTTACTGAAATGATCTGTTGTAGTTTTTCTAAGTTACAAAGAAAGCCTTTCTCCAGCTGCCATTAAAGCCTTGAACTTGCAAAACTGAGTAGGTAATTTGTAATTACAGGACAGTTTTTAGAGTGAAAAGCCACTGCGAGTGAGGATAAAAATGGGGATTTAAAAGGGGATAGGGGACCACACAGAAACAAAAAGTCCAAAATTTGGTTAACCAGAATCCCCAACTTGTGCATACTGAGGGTGAAACAAAAGCTTTTAAAAAGACTTAGACTTAAATTTTCAAAAGTCAAACACTTAAGTGCCAACATTAATCTATTTCAAGAGCTTAAAGAAGAGTGACTTGCCAGTAACTCTAGTTTTCTTAGCCTTCTTCTTCCACATCCTGCAAATGAAACAAGTCCACCCAGACTATGCTATACATCCACCTACGAGGGAGCGGAGAGGTGCACTGTTCTGTGAGTCATGTATGAAGACACAAGACCGCCCCTTTTGTACAGTCAGCAACTTCCTTAAATACTAATTAAGCCTCGTCACTCAAGACGGAAAGGGAATCAAAACAGCAGAGTACTGAGAACCCCGAGACCTAAAAAGGGCATAAGGAATAGGGACAAATACACTGGAAGTATAGACAGTAAGTGAAGCAAGAGGTAAGTTTTTCTTTGCCAGAAGTTACCCTTCTCCACCTTTCAAAAGCAATCCATCCTCACAACACGTAGCCACATTATGCTGCTCTGACAGGAGGCAGGCTGGCCTTTCACGAGATCTGCAGTACTTAAACATTATGGCAGAATCCGCTGATTTGGTTTGATCCAGACATTATGAAAAGACATAAATTTGGCAGCAGATACCTCACTTCCTCTGCCCCAAGTGAAATAAATAGTTTACAGCAAACACAGCGAAGCAATAGGAAACAGAAGGGCAACATCCCCACAAATACAAGAGGCTGGATTAACCTCATGGGCACAGAACAGGTTTCTATGGAACTGCAGGTTAATATTTCAAAAAGTAAAACTAAACTATTCATGTTTGTCAAAATAAATTACACTGGTAACTAGCCAAGCATTTTCCTGTGCTGTTGTGAACCTTTCACAAAACACTTTGGTAAATAGATATTATAAATAGATAATGAAGGATACAGTTCTGACAGAGCAGAACCTGATGGCACACAGCCTTTAACAGGTCTGTGATGAGATTAATAAACCCAAGGTGATAAAGGCTGGGAGGCCAGTGATCAAAGCTGTACGCTCCCCATCTCACATAAGATTTAAAAGAATGTGAAATTCATCCAAGGATTGACCACTTTACCTGATCCAGTCTCAGAAAAGACTACCTCTTGTTTTGAGAACAAGCAGATGCTGTGCTGTCAAGAATTAACTGAGACCACAGGTAACATTCCCAAGAGATTCCCAAGGGGAGTACTCATTCACGAAGTAAGGATGTCAAGTGTCCAACTTGCTGACTCAATGCTAATAACCCCTGAAGGCAAAGAAACTTCTCTACGGAAACTCTTTACTGGTCACTAACTCGAGTCATCACCTATATAACACAGTCCATCCTGCACATTTACAAGTGTAATCATCATTCAGTCAGGGTCAAACCATGTGCCAGGAGGATGATTCCCAGCCACACAATGTGCTATTCCATCACATGAGCATCTTTTGGATATGATGGGGACAGTGTCAGAAGCAGGAAACTTCTCAAAGATATTAAATCCACCACAACAAAAGACAAGGTTCTCCTTAGGATAGATTCATGTTCTAGAAGTGGATGTGATCAATTAACAACTACAGAGGATTGTGGCTTCCTCAAGGAGTGAACTCATAGGATCTTAAAGAGGCAGCATACTACCTGGCCTGCCACTGAGACTGCTGCAGAGTTCTAAAACCTAACTTCCCACAGAGTTTAAGTGCTCCCCTAAGCCTGGTTTGCTACTTACAGGATACAAACCACAGTACCTGGTTACTAAAATCAGTGAACTTGTGGGAACACATTGCAGCTCCCTCTGGGGAAACATAGGCCCAGGACTCAGAGAGCAAGATGAGAAGAGCATAGTGTACATGCTGTTTTCATCTCAACATGCAGCTAAAACACAGCTGGAGAACATGCTTGTTCCTGGTAGCCGTGTCCCAGTCCTAGACTTAGAGCAGAACAAGTGTGAGTCTAAAGGTGGCTTCTGCCCATCTACTGATCTGACCTAAATGAAGAAGAGTATCCCTGGAAAGAACAGGAGTCTGTCAAGGGAGTTTCTTTTTTTTTTTTTTAAACCAAAATTTGGAACCCCAAATCCTGAAGTTTTCTTTGTGGAACCTGAAAGTTCACCTTGGCCCAGAAAGGACCTTAATTCTGAACTTGATCTCCTAGAAGTTCTGAGTCTACATCTACCATGTTCAGACCATCCAAAAACTAAGATAGGCAGGCATAACCAGGACACGTTAGAACCTAAAATATTCAGCAAAACACTGTCTGCAAGACACAGTTCATGGTGCTAACAGGAGCAAAGAGCTGCTACAGGCATCAGCAGTTGGAGAACATGAATGCAGAAAGACCTATTTACAGTTGTTCTTAGCATCACACTTATGCATGACTTAGACAAGACACAGCTACAAAGAACTAGGTCTAGACTTCACTAGGTTTGTGCAAGTAATCTGTCAAACTGTCACCATCTTCTAAAGCACCTAGCTGGAGAAAGAGATTGAGCACCTGTCTTTAAAAGGCAATCCCAAGAGAGAAAGAATCTGAAACAAACTATTCCAAACTTAGCAATCCTCTTAAACCAAGTACCTGTGGGGCACGCTCCAGGGCAACATATATAAGGGGAAAAAAGTTCAACCTCATTAAGTTTCTGGAGTGGCTGCTGCAGACCAAACACCTTCCATCAGAAGAGGGCTATGCTGAAAGCCTATAAAGACACCGGATCATTTTTGCTTAGAAACTTCTCTCCTGCCATCACACTCCTCCATGTGAAAGAATAAGAGTAGGACAGGACGAGGAGTGCTCACAGAACGGATGCACAACATCCCACTTCTGAGCAGAGCCAGCCAAGACCAAGGTACAGCAACATCTCCTTTACAGAAGTCATTACAACCTTGAGCACCCGCAGGGAGACTCAACCTTTTGAGCTTGAGGAGAAAAGAGGATTAAAGAGGGTAAAACCAGAGTGTTCAAATATGGATGACCCAAACACAGAGGGCTGTGTATTTCTGCACCAAGAGACAAAGGAATGCATCAGTATCAAAGCTGTACCACACAGACCTCATACTTAAGAGGCACATTTCTGTTCACCTTTTTCAGGGGGGGAGGGGGGGAAATCTAGTTCATTTATGGCCATGGTCCTGAAATTCAAAGATTACTAAAAATATACAGGAACAATTCATTGTGATTTCAGTATTTTTGTAGCACAATGATTTGATTTTACAGATGAACTCTGAGTACTAGCCCCTATCCCTCCTAGCTAGCGTGAATGCAACCCAAATTTCCTTCTCTTCTCCATGACATAGTTGTGACAAGTCCTATACAATCCACTGTCAGTCACATTATTTCACCCAGCCCCCTGTTTACTACTCTCATGAATTTCCAGCCAACCATGTCTAAGTCTACCTTACCCACTTGTATCTGCCACGCCACATTCCCTCAGCTTTTGTGCTTCCCATTATTCTCTTTTCATTCCCATGATTCTGCATTAAGCACTCTGCACTCACCATTGTCAGCGTTTCTCATTTCACCTCTATTACGGGATTTCTGAGGAGACGTTTAAGTGGAAGACTTTAAAATTGTTTGAGGTCTTTGAAAGGATTTTTTTTTTTTATTAAAACACTAAGCATTTTATTTCACCACTAGAACCATGTAAAGCTCTTACAAATAACCATTCATCCTTATTAGTTCAAAGAAAAGTACTATTCCATACACTGCTCAAGTGTGAAGTGATTCATGTTTGCTTTTCAAGAAACAACATTGGATTGCAAAGACTTTTGGCTCCCTAGCCTGAAAGCATACTTTTACAGTAATTTGTTTCTGACTAGAAACACATTTTCTACTTCAATTCTTCAGGATAAGTTTTCCATTAAAATAAAGATATGAATAAAATAACAATAAAAATAGCCCACGGAAGATACTTCACCTTCCAAAGGGTCTTAAAAGCATTACTTCTCAAGCTGCTATTAAATTACCTGCATTTTACAGAAAATGAAAGCAAGACTTGGCCACTAAAGGACTGTTAACAGTGATAAAATGATAGCCAGCAATAAGCTTTAATTTCCAGGTCTGAACCTGAATTATAATTCTTCCTTTCTTCTTCGCTGAAGATAGTGATGCAAGTTTTACCAACAGTGGTTTACTTTTTATTTCTTTATTAACAGCAATATATCACTAGCCCCTCACCACACACACAATGCATTTTATAGCTTTCTATTTTTTCTTGGCACTGTGCCTGTCACTCACCTGTAACGGCATCATAGAACTCTTCTTCACTATTCATCCTTCAGTGTGAAATCTCTGTACAGCCAATCCAGCTTCCTCTAATGCATCGTTGAACTTGATTTAGAGATTAAGTAGCTGTGTGCTGTTGAAGCCTTATATTGCAAATACCCAGCTGCTTCAGATGATCTATTTGACAAGACAGGGAAACAGAATCAGCAACTTCCACATTTCTTATATGCACAAACATGCACACTTGACAAATACTAATTTTCCTATTTATTCCCATGGTAAAAGATGGATTTTTGCATTCATAAGTAAACAGCCTTCTTTGATACCAAAGTCATTCTGAAGACAAGTACTACCTACCACAAGAACAGCTGATGTACTATGCCACACTCTATATAAATACATCATATACACTACTGTAAAATATATCTTATTTACTGCAAGTTACATTTCAGGAAAATACAGCTAGAAGGAACAGAGAACTGAAGGAAGATACGGCTGGCAAAACAAAAGTTCTCCTCTTCATCAAAAGGATTAGCTTTACCGCATCCTTAACCGAGAAAGCTAGGAACAAGAAAAAGAACCTTGTATCTCAAAAATCTCACTGTTGCCTAAAAATGTTGGACCTCACTGTACATCATGCAATTAGTATCTAGTGACCATTAGAGAAGTTTTGTCAGGCTACTGCTATGAAGTCTTGAAACAACTGGAGATTTTTCCCTTTAGAGGGAGAGTGTAAAGAAACAACAAACTTTTTCTCAGTAAAGCCAAGCACACTGCAAATAACTTAACAGATTTATGAAGCATTCCAGCTCTACTTTATGGATAGCCTAAATTAGATTTTTTCCAGATGGTTGGCAATGGTGTAACGTAAACATTTTTACTTCACCCAATTTTAGTCTAAGGAGAATAATGAGTCAATTTAGCTTCCACTCTTACAAATGTTCATCAGGTACCAATGATGAGCCAAGTACACAGTGATAAACGACAGCATGGCAATGCTACAGATATCTCCTCCAAAACAACCTCAATCTGTCAGTCTCAATTTTTTATGATCCTTGAAAATCCCACTGCTTTTGTGACAGTAGTTTTTCCAGAGTAATTATAACTTGCACAATTCCATTCCAATTAAGAGAAACAAAGCCAGAAGCGCACTTCTACTCCTAGCAGAAGAGCTTGCTATGTCTGAAACCAATTCTTTCTTCCTCTTTGCCAGAAATCAAGCTGCATGATTTCTCCTGCGCTTCAAGTCTTTTTACCTCACTGCCCAGAACAAAAAGTATTTGAATGCCTCACACACATACAGTCCTTCCAAATCTCCATTCAGAAGGAGAAGCTAAAAAGCCTATTTTGAAACTCATCTAAGTTAATGAATGTAGCATTCACCTTGAAGTTTTACGTCTGTCAAGGCCAAGTATTTTAGCTTGCCACTTTTCCCTTAGGAACTCCCTATTTCCTTGCCACTATAGCATTTAATATCGAACTCTGCATCATGGTATCTGAGCTTCCACATAATCTTCATCAATTTCTTATTTACAAGTCCTCACCTTCACAAGGACAAGACTTTATACAGCTGCTTCTCTTGACTGTTGCTGCAGTGCTGCTGCAATTGCTCTCAGATGGGATGATAGTTTTCTCCCCTCTTTCCTGTGCTGTTATCCAGTCAGGGACCTTAAAACTTCAACTTTCTTGCTTATCAACAACAAGTTTCTGACTTCTTTTTGTCAAAGTGCTGCATTCTCCTAGGCAAGGATGCTTAAAACATTAACAAGTCTGGCTGAAGAATTCCAGTGCAAGGCTACCAGCAAGTGCTCTGCTTGCATAAGGGAAAGGAGCATCAGCTTCACTCCAAAAAGATACAGGCAGTTCAGGCCACTAGCAACCACACTACCTCAAAATCAAAGAAAGGGAGAAATCTTCTTAACTAACAATTGGTTCAAGAGCTAGCTCAGATTTCTGGGTGAACTAAGCAGCAGAATTGATAATATTGTTCTAAATCTGTACTGTAAGTAGAAGCCAGCATACCTACCCCTGCGTTATCTTGCCTAGGGGAAGCCACACCTTGACTCTGTAATAAAAAAAAAAAGCAAGCTTGTTCATACCAAAGCTGCTGTCAGTCTTAAAAGTTTCTCCAAAAACTTTCCAGCCCCACCAGCAGTATATCTGGAAGGACCCCTTCCAAGGTTTCCAAATAAGTCACATATTTGCAGAAAATCTGTCCTTGAGTATACAACTATGTAAACCTTTAAACAGGGGCAGAAAAGTGGGAATCCAAAGAAAACTACTGCTACAGAAAACAGGAACTCAACATCTCAGGACAACTGTTCACCCCAGAAGCTGTTATCACCATGCTGGAATAACTCCACTCATTTGTCAAAAAAGAAATTGTATTAGAGGACTTCTTTAACTCTCCAAGGTACTGTATCCTTGAAGATGCAAGACATTTATGGTTTCAATTGTCCACAAGTATTGCATCCTTCCAGCAAAACAATAGCCAGTATTTCCAGACGGAAGCCTGTATATGCACAAGATAGAGCCCTCTCATGATCAGGACTACAATCCCCTCATTTTCTCCATGTTTTCTCATTTCTTGCATGTTCCCTTTTTGTTTAGTCTCTATTTTTCATTTAAGCTCTTGCAGCAGGGCTATCCTGTTGTTGCATACAGCTCATGTGCTGAGATTCTGTTCTGAAACAGCCTTATATAAAAAAAAAAAAAAAAAAAAAAAAAAAAAAAAAAAAAAGAGCTAATCCAAAAGCCATACCCATTCAATTCAAACGCAAAGAGCAGACTTAACCTTAGAGTCCCTAATCCAAACACTGGCACATTACACATCAGTTTGCAAGCTCCAGAGATGCTTCAGAACAGTAACTCCACTATGCTATAGTATTGTATAGAAATAAAAATTATTACTTAAAAAAACTGACAGCTGTTTTATTGTTAAGAGCCTTAGAGTAAACAAGGTCATACAGATGAATGCGAGTTTCTCCGCTCCCCTCTCCTGCACTATAACAACTGCATTACAAAAGGACTTGTGAAGTGGAACTACATCACACAGCATGCTGTTCCACTACAAAGACAGTGAAGCTTTCCTATAAAAATACGAAGCACAAGTGAAGTAACTAGAATCAAATATCTGAGTTAACTGAAAGCAAGAGTTATGCTGTGTTCTCCTGATGAGCACCTCACACCACACCTTAGGCTCACTGTTAGTTGAAAATGAAAGTTCAGTCGTATCCCCCCTGTAAATTATACACAAGCTTTGCTAACTATTGCCTAAAGAACAAAATACTCGTGGAAGTCACTTTAAATAACAGTCACAAATTCTAAGGTGCTGCTAGAAGGATTTTTAAAAGGATAAAGTAATATACTTTGCATCAGAGTTACACTAGGAATAACTTAACACTCCTATCACTTCTTTTATATTCAGTTCTTTTACTTAGCAGAGATTAACATGAATTTGCATGTAGCTGAACACACAATAACAGCAGCATTTAGCTTTCATGAGCCAAAAAGCTAGGATTAAGTGCTTTTCTCTTACTAAAAGCAACAGTAAAAGTTACTTTCAAGTAGGTTAAAATGCCAAAAGACAAAAACATCCTGTTTGCTTCATATTCAGCATTTGTAATCTGCATTTCCTCCTTCGTGTCCACAATGTACCCCAAAAAATTCACTTACACACTAGCGACTGTAGTTAACAGCTTTTATCAAAATTTCAAGGAAATGCAATACTCCTGCGTCAGACAGACCTTCAGGAGCTGAGGATCAACTGCCATCCTGGAAAATCTTTCATAAAGCATAAACATCACGTTCACATCTTTCAGTCCTACAGCGCAGAAGAAATACAAGAGTATATTTAGATTTAAAAAAAAAAAAAAACCAAAAACAAAAAAAACATACATAGTAATCATTAGGAATGTAACAAACAGTTTTCCATACAGGACTTCACTCACTCTTTGTTGTGGAGAACACTATTTCAGCCATTAGGGTTTGCTGGTTTACAGGTTAAAATTATCTTAGAGGGCTTCACTTCAACAGCCAGCGCTAAGGGGCTGGGCCTGGGTACTCAAGGCACAGACACCCAGAAAGGTGCTTTTGCCTGGGGACCGCAGCCCGGCTGCACTGCCACATTGATGACCAAAGAGAGCCTGTATATAAATCATTTTATAAGGAGGAAAAATCTGCAAGTAGAGACATCTTCAGAGAACTGGAAATGCGTAATTTAATTATGACAACACACCCCTGACCACAAGCAGCCCAGATTTTGTGGTTTACAAGATAAGAGACAAAGCTCATCTATTTCCTCATATGGGAAGGCTATGGATTGGTACATACTAGTTGGATTTATTATGGGATTTGTGTGCATGAATAAAAACTATCACATTTACTTTTATTTTTGTAATAGATTTACTTCCCTACAGGAGATATGCTATTTTTGAAGCTCAAACTGAAAGACAACAGATAAAAACACCCAAAAAAGAAGTATCACGCTCATCATAACAGTACAACTTCATAATTGGTTGGTAAATTCGTACTGCAGACTGCATCACCTTATATTTTGCCCTAAGAAATTCTCTCTACTAGGTCATCCAGAATATTTACAATATGATTTTACTCTTTGAAACAACATCTAAAATGAGAGCCAAAGCAATTATCAGAAAACAGTGAAGCCTAACAGAATTTATTGAAGCAAGTCTTGAACAAGTTATTTGGGCAGAACCTAGTTTTTCCTAGTCACTCTGCTCATTCACGTGTCAATGCCCACAATATACAAAACCAGACTAGCAAGAATTAAGGTAAGCATAGCATGCGAAATCAAAAATTTGTAAGAGCTTCTGGTATCTTCTAACCAAAAGACTACCATCTTGATTCCTCAGAAATAAGCTTTGCTTCTTGGTGATGCTGCAAAACTATCCACTAACAGGTTAAACAAGATATTGTGCTGCCCAGTAACACAATTTATCAATGCAGACACCAATGCTGAAATAAAAATGCCATGTTTGTCCCAGACAAGAACCCCCCAAAACCTGAACAGGTAAGGGACAAAGTCTGGTTTGTACTTTTGTTATTAAAAGGCCTCACCAGCGCTGTACAACTCGTCAAAAGCAGGTTAGTCATTAAAACTCCTCTAAATCCTCACAGTTTATCAGAAAAGGCTCACACATTCCTGTATGCCTGAT